ACTTTTTAATGGGGGTACTGGGTACTGAACCCAGGACTTTGTACATGATAAGCATGTGCCCTACCACTGAGCTATACCTTCACCCCATCTTTATGTTGTTTTAATAGTGCTTTTTATCCTAAAGGTACAGAAACAATAATTAACGTTATTGTTGATTATATTTCTTTCTAAGTTAATTATTCTTGTCTAGGGAGATTATTCCTCTTTCGTCTAAGAAATTTTTTTTTAGTGATTAAAAAACAACTTCAGGGGTATATTAGAGTTCTCTTGAGAAGCAGAACCCTAGAGAGAGATATACAAAAAGAGATTTATTGTAGGAATTGGTTCACAGGATTATGAAGGCTAAGATGTCCCATGATCTGCCATCTGCAATCTGGAAAACTGGGAAAGCCAATGGTGCAGTTCAGCCTGAGTCCAAAGGCCTGAGAACCAGGGTGGGGAGGATGAGAGGGCAATGGTATAAGTCCCAGTCCCAGTCAGAGTCCAAAAACCCAAGGACCAGGAGCATCTATATCTGAGTGCAGGAGAAAATGAATGTCTCAGCTCAAGCAGAGAGAGTGAACCTTTTGTTTTTCAGCCTTCTCGTCCTACTCAGGCCCTTAGAGCTTCAGTGATGCTCATCCACATTGGTGAAGGCTATCTTCCATACTCAGTCTACTGATTCCAATGCTAATCTCTTCCAGAGACACCCTCATAGATATACCCAGAAATTATATTCTCCCAGCTATCTGAGCATCCCTTACAGTCAAGTTTACACATAAAATTTACCATCACAAGATGTTCAACTTGGAGGGGTAATTCTTATAAATCATTCAATGTATGGAAAGAAATAAAAAAATTTTTTTTTGAGATAAGTCTTCCCCAAAAATCATGCTGAATTTCTAACCACAAGTACCTCAGAATGACTGTATTTGGAGATACAGTCTTTAAAGAGGTAACTGAGTTTAAATGCAGTCTGAGAGTGGGCTGTAATCCAGTATGACTAATGTGCTTACAAGAAGAGGAGATTAGGACACACACAAACAGACAGAAGGCCATGTGAAGGCACATGTCTGCAAGCCAAGGAGAGAGATCTAGACAAGACTCTTCCCTCATGGACCTTGGAAGAAACCAACCCTGTCAACACCTTAATCTTGAACTTACAGCTTCCAGAAAATAAATTTCTGTTGATTAAGCCACCCAATCTGTGGTATTTTTATGGCAATCCTAGCAAACTAATACAACATGTAAGTCATGTTCAGCATGTATCATGGATTTTGTTTTTCTTTGACTTTTTTTTAATGCATCCATTGCAGTACCTTGCAAATAACAGAAGTTCAATAAATGTTTCCGTTGTTGTATGCAATAAAATAGGAGAATGTATTTGTAGCCTAGATGACCAGATATCCATCAAAATTTCATGTGACTGCCCACAGTTGCCTAATTAGGGTCTATATGTCTCAGTGTCCTTGCATCTAAGTGGGACATTTGATTATTTCTCCTCATCAGAGTATGTTAGGGTGACTTCTCCTGACCAACGCTGAAAAAAGCACACATGCCTTATCCACTCTTTTTTCCCTTATGCCTCCTGGATGTCAAAGCCCAAAGCAACATTTTACTGAATATTATAGATCTTTTATCCACCTGAATCCCTAAGTGAGTGAATGGAGCAGAAGCACTTCCCTTACTCGGAGCAGCCTTCTTAATAAAGCATCTTCAGAGGAATGCTACTTAATTGAGAAAATAGCCTTGCCTGTGTTAAACCACTGAGATTATGTGGTTCATTTGTAAAGTCGCTAGCATTTCTCTAAGTTTTATAGAAATGTTGTATTCAGTGTGAGCTGCTATAATAAAAACCTAAAATATACGCTACTGACTTAGCAGTCAGGCAGCAATCAAAGAGCAAACTTAGTGCTGCAGAAAGATCTACGTACCATAGTGGCAAAACATTGTGTAAAATTTTGCCTGTAATACGTTGGAACACCAACCACTTGTTTACCAAGCCTGTAGGGGAAGAAGGTTGGAAAAGTCAGCTATTAATAACTTATGTTGGTTGCCATTTGCTGAGTTTAGCAAATTATTATAAGGAAAGAGGTAAGCTCAGGCTTATAACCGGTTTGATTGAGAGCATACTTAGAAGAGAATAAAAATTGTGTGGGAACTGGGGGCCTCTCATTAGCGGAAAAGCCTCCCTTGCTCAAGTGGGAAGAGATAGACCTAAAAAGCTTTTAGTTTCAAGGACCGATTAAAGTTCAGCACTGCATCAAAGGAGATATGAATTGTGGATCTTCTCAGCCATCGTACTGACATAGTGGCAACACAGACCCACAGATTTGAAAGGGAGAACTCTTGGGCCCAAGAAACCAAGGCATGAGTCAGGTTTGAGGGTAATATCTAGAAAGAACTGAGTTTTAGTACTGAAACATGAACACAAAAAATTCAGGTAGGGTTGCCAGATTTAACAAATAATAATACAAAATACCCAGTGAAATTCAAATTTCAGATAAATAACAAGTAATATTTTATTATATGTCTCAAATATCACATTCTATTTATTATAGAAACAATTGCAGAGGGCATACTTATACTAAGGCATTATTTGTTGTTTATCTGAAATTCAGATTTTATTGGGTATCCTATATTTTATCTGGCAACCTTAATTCAGAGGCCTTCAGTCTTTTGAAGGGAGCCATATTATGAAGAAGTCATGAGCCCAAACAAAAATCTCTGAGTACTGGAGCCTTTAAACCAATACTTGGGCTCCAAAAATTGTATGAGAAGTGAGCTGGGAAATCTGAGAAGTCCACTAGGAAGGCATTACTTCCTAATGCCTACTTCAGATGTGGCCACAGAGAATAATGCTAAGGAAGAACTTTCCAGAAATCAGAGCCAAGGGCTGCAGAGAACAATGGACAAAGGCATTCCTCAGGGTCTACTTAAGGAAATGATTCCAGCGCTAAAGAAATAATAACTACAGGAGGTTTTCTATTTTTTTGGTGTGTAGTTTGCTGTTGAGTCTCCTATTTTTCCTTGTGGGTGATAATAATTGTGCTAAACCTGTTTCATCATTTTATATCAACTGTGAAGAAATGAGTGGCAGTGGGATGATAACTTGCTCTTTATAATTTACTAGATCAGGAGGAGCCTTATCGGGACTGAAAGGTAGACATCCAGACTTTGAGCTGGATGCCATAACTGGATAGCCCTTAAGGTGGTTCTCTTGGTGAGAGTGTAAAGATTCTCTATGTGGGAAAAAGTCTATACATAAGGAATTTGGAGGCTAGAAGGGCTAAAAAACCCAGGTCAGGGTTTTTTGTTTCCCAATATAGGCAAGAGTCAGCAAATTTTTCTGTCAAGACCCAATTGGTAAATATTTGATGCTTTGCAAACCAACAGGCAAAATAGAGGACATAATGTAGGTACTTACATAACAACCATTTAAAAGTGTAAAAGTGTACATCCTTAGCCTGTAGGCCATAAAAAATAGTCAGGAGACTGGATTTGGCCCAAGTCTGTAAGTTTTCCACCCCTGATGGAAAGCTGATGGTAGAAAGCAGTTTCCTACCCAAGAATTTTACTCCCTAGGCTCCTTTGCATTTTTCTAGGGGCATGTGACTATGACCAATGGAATGTGAACAGAAATGTGTGCTGTGAAGGTCCACATTTTCTTTCCTACTCTATCATCATCTGATTGTCATGCATAGGACAATCTGGGAAGTCAACAGTTAAAAATGAAGAACCAAATACAGCTGACCCCCTAATAAGACAGAGCAGATGTCTACAATCTCAGGAACACTGTGTTGGTAAATTATGTAAAAACATAATACATTTCTATTACATTAAGATGTTGAAATGTTGGGTTTCATTTATGACTGCAGCTGGTGTAATTAAAAAACTGCTCATTTCATAGATATGTTCCAAGATTGAGTCTTTATTTAAATACTGTATCCCCTGGAAGCCTAGAATTTCTATCCATTAAATAATTTTCTTCCCCATATTAATTCTGACAGATCCTAAATTGTGTTCACTTTTTTCGCTAATACATTGGATCCATTTTCAATCAGATCAGTTCATAGCATATTTTAACCAGCTTTTGACTTATTTAAACAGATAATTTTTCTAAATCAACACACACATTATAAAGCTATGTCTTTAAAAATGTATTTAAATGACATAATAATTAGCTATTAAAGGAGGATGAACTATGGAAACTCTTGAAACTATATCTGATATCTTGTTTTGTATATGTTTCCCTTAACAATGTATCAGTGAGAAATTGTTCATCATATAATATCATCCATGATCGGAATAGAAAGTGCAAACTTACACGAATAGCAAATTATTTTTCTTTAACTTTCTAATTTGTACACTTGTATAATCATTAATTTCAAAGAGGAGAAGACTCTTAGTGAAGCATCTATTCCTTCTAACCTCTCCACTCCTCTATCAACTTTACCAAAGTAAAATAAAATCTGATGTCTTTTTTGTAACATTTAAATGATCAAGTATTTGTTAAAGTGGTCAGAAATCACTGAATTTTAGAAAGAGTGCATAACAAATTCAGAAGAAAGTAGAATGATGAAGTTAAGGAAACTGAGATGCTCCTGGAGTAAGTCAGTATATTTGTTGTGTCACCAAACAAAACAGACCAAAAAATTAAGAATGTCTTGAGATTTATTCAATGCATATGGGAAGATAAGATCCACAATTAAATAAATGGTCTATATTTTCAACATCTCTTCTAAGCTAGAAACAGTTTCCTGGTACTCTTCAGCATCAAAATATTACTCTCCCTTGCAAAATCAGTCTATTTGATACACATGATATTTTATTTTATGTTGCTCATTTAATTGAAATATAGTTGATTTACAATGTTATATTAAATTTGGGTGTACAACATAGTGGTTCAGTATTTTTATATATTATACTCCATTAAAATTTATTACAAAACTATGGCTGTATTTCTCTGTACTGTGCAGTATATCCTTATTACTTATTTATTTTATACACAGTAGTTTATACCTCTTAATCCAGTAAGCCTACTTTGCTGCTCCCCCTTCCCCTTTCCCCACTGTTAACCAGTAGTTTGTACCCTATATCTGTGAGTCTCTTTCTGTTTCATAACATTCATTTGTTTGTTTTATTTTTTAGATTCCAGATATAAATGTTAACATTGAGTAGTCATCTTTCTCTGTATGATCTATTTCACTAAGCATAATACCCTCCAGGCCCATCCATGTTGTTGTATATGGCAGAATTTTATTCTTTTTTATGGCTCAGTAGTATTCCTGTGTGTGTGTGTGTGTGTGTGTGTGTGTGTGTGTGCGCGCGCGCGCTGCGCGCACATACACACATCACTTCCTCTTTATCCATTCATCTATTGATGGACACTTAGGTACCTTCGATATCTTAGTTACTGTAAATAATGGTGCCATGAGCATTGAGGTACATGTATTTTTTTCAATTATTTTTTTTTTCCTGATATATAACCAGGAATGGAATTGCTGGTTTTATTCTTAGTTTTTTTAGGAATCTCCATACTATTTTTCACAGTGGCTGCATGAATTTACATTCCAACCAACTGTGTATTATGATTCCCTTTTCTCCACATCTTTGCCGATATTTGTTATTTGTAGACTTTTTGATGATAGCCATTCTGACAGATATGAGATGACATCCTTTTGGCTCTATCTCTGAAGACAAAATAAAAGAAAAATAATAAACAGATGGGATCTAATTAAACTTAAGAGATTTTGCACAGCAAAGGAAATCATCAACAAACCCAAAAGACAAAAATCTACTGAATGGGAGAAAATATTTGTAAATGATATGGTCATTAAGAGGTTAATATCCAAACTATATAAACAGCTCATACAACTCAATATCAAAATACATACTTTTCTAAAGAATATATACATACAGCCAACAGGCTCATGAAAAGATGCTCAACATCACTAATCAAAAAATGTAAATCAAAGGTACACAGCATATTTTAAAATACCATTTAAAGTTGTGGGTTTTAAAAAATATATAATCTATTTGAATGATCACACTGTGTAGTCCCAGAATTGCAACTTATTTTTCTGATTTGGTGCTAAGGAATATTTATTCCACCATCTGTAAAAGTTATAAAAGGATAAACCTAGAGATGTGTCAGAAATAGCAGTAGATATATCTTGCACAGTCACGCGACTATTTGTTCATGTGATTAGCACAGCTCAGGCTTCTATAAATCACATATATCAAAACAAATGACAAATTCTGCATTCCTAAAATGGTAAGACATTTCAAGCAAAACTCTAGCTGGTAGCTACCCTCCTGAGCTTTTCCACTTGTCTGGTGCCTTCAGTTTCATCAGTTTTCTGGAGCTGGGCCTGCTAGGGTATTTCACACACTGCCTTGGGTGTTCACTTTTTATGGTCTGCTAATTCAGTTAGCATTTGTCCATGAATTTTCCAACTTCTCAAGTTTTGTTGCTGTTTTCATCCTTTTAGCCTCCCCCATCACTTTTATTTTTGTGGGTGACTTCTTTTGAAAAAAACCCATAACCTTTGTTGACATATTTGTGAGGTCCCAGGAGAATGTGGAACCAGATATCTATCAAATCCACCACGCTTATTTGTAAGTTCAGCATATTTTTTAATAGTAGGATAAACACAGTTTGATGATGCTGGGAACTGAATTTTGAATAGACAAAGTAGTTTATCCAGAGGGAAATATCTACTTTTATTCAAAACAACAACAGTCCTCTTAGGAATGAACAGGATCTGACCACCAAGAACTGGTACCTAAATTACTCATGTCATCAAAATAGAACAGGACATGGTTAATCGAATCCACCCAGGTTTGTTATAAATAGCAAAGATCTTACATGAGGAATTTAATCTTATTCTCCTGGAATCCAAATCTTGTACCAATTTACTCTAGGCTAGGAACGTACTTTTGTTTTTCTCTTAAGAAGAAAAACTATGAAAGTACAATTAGTGTGTTCTTGGATATGTTAGATTTGGTGGAGTCAGCAAACCTTGTCTCTAGAGGGCCGGATAATAAATATATTTGACTTCGTGGGCCATGTGGTCTCTGTCACAACAGCGGCCTCTCTGTCACTCAAAAGCAACCACAGACAGAGGGAAGCAACTGGCCCTCCTGGGAGGCATTGCTATAGCCTGATGGCTAGGTGTGATCATGGATGCATTTTTAAATGAAGCGTTTCAGAAGCACACACAACAATGTAAGAAGACATGTTGTTTTATCTTGAGTATCACTGCCATCTAACAAACAAACATTGGTTTCTGAAAAATGATTTTCGGCTAAGTGGGAATTTCTTGTTACCCGAGAGATTCCCCGACAGCTGCTAAAACACGGGTACTTAGGTAAACCATCTGTAATAAGACGGAGCTTAAAGGCATGGCTAGCATAAAGTCAAAGTAATAAGAGATGGTTTATATGATACTTCCTTTGTTTTCATTATTTCATCTTTCTGAGTTCAAGTATCTCTGTGAGATAGTGTAGGGCAGTGATCATCAAACTTTAGCATGTGTAAAAATCACAGGGAGGGTTTCTTAAAATACAAATTCCTGGATACTCCTACAAGAGATTCTGACTTGGTAGGTCTGGCATGGAGACTGGGAATTTGTATTTCCAATTTTCCATGTGCTGCTATTTCAATAGAATCACCCAGGGAAATCTTTACTCAACACCTACTCTAGTAAATTCTCTAGGATTGGGACCTGAGCCTATGAATTCTTAAAAATTCACCTTATGAGATTTCAGTGTTCAACTGGATTTGAAATGAGTGGCTGGAATATATAAATGCTTTTTTTGTCCCTTGGTGCTTTTGTAGAATAATTTTATGTTTGAAATTTTGCTTATAGCTGGCTCTCAGTAAACCTGATTATTAATCATTTGAAATGGATTTCAGAAAGGACAATATCTCCATTTGAGAAGGTCACAAACATGGGTAGTTGCTTTTGTTCTCAGATGACTTTAAATCTCCACATTCTTCTGTCTGTCATGGATAAGGAAAGTTGTTGACGAAGTCAGTTGGTTTTCCAAGGTCCTTCCAGAGTGATGTTGAGAACGGAGATAATAATAATGATGATAATTTAACAAATAAATAAATCGACACCTTTCTACATTTCTATTTACTAGCACTCTGTCAGCTTGGATAAATAAATTGCTTTTCATTGAAGTATATCTGATTTACAATGTTGTTTTGGTTGCTGGTGTACACCACAGTGATTCAATTATACAATTGTATATGTATACACATAGACACAGTGATTCAATTATTATATGTTCTTTTTCATTATAGGTTATTACAAGCCATTGACAATCCAGTAAGACTTTGTTATTTATCAGAAACAACTCTGTTGGGATTTTTTGTTATTTTATATATAGTAGTTTGTATTTGCTAATCCCAGTCTCCTAATTTATCCCTCCCTCCAGCCCTTCCCCCTTCAGTAATCATAGTTTGTTTTCTATGTCTGTGAGTCTGTTTCTGTTTTGTAAATAAGTTCATTTGTGTTATTGTTTTTAGATTCCACGTATAAGTGATAACATATGATATTTGTCTTTCTTTGTCTGACTTACTTCACTTATTATGATAATCACTAGGTCCATCCATGTTGCCACAAATGGCATCATTTCATTCTATTTTATGTATTTCAAACATACATATCTTCTTTACGCAATCATCTCCGGGTGTATTATCTACTGAAACACTGGGTTCATTTTACAATATATCCTGTATTAGATTTAATACTGATGCTTTGTTTTAGATTTTTAGTTATGGCATATATTTTTCTCTGCAGCTAACGTAACTAGGAAGACCAACTGTGATTTCAAAACAGTCACATTAAAAAAGCATGTGCATTGTAATACCTGTGGATTTATGGGAAGTGGTAAAATAGTAGATAAAAAATTGCCTAAGACTGGACCATGCAATTGCATCGTTTTCCTTACAAAACAGCTGTAATTCTTATTTTTTGATTACAAATATCATGTGATTTGGGGCAGGGGACTCAGAAGCTATAAATTCTTTTCAGTGTTACTTTATAAATTACATTTTAAAAATAAAATTTATTGTCTTTTAGAAGCCCATTGCCTTGTTCTTTTTTTTCCTACTTCTTAATCATTCTCTTGAATCAGCTAGGCTTTTAAATCCTTTTTCTTTGGAGTTCAGAGTTTATTCTTTAAATGTTTAAGACTTCCTTCTTTGTACTTTTTTGTTCTCTACTAGGATTCAAAGTCGAGTGGAAAACTGCTGAACTTTCTTTCTAAGAGGTTTCTGTTTACAGAGCGCCACGCTCTCGCCTCTGTTTGACTTTACATTGACATTCCATTTGGGAGCAGAGTTATCAGAAAAGCATGAGAACCTTCTGAACTTTCCTTCCAGAGGTTCTAGTTCCCATATATACATATTGAGTTCTAGTCAGTTTACAATGTTGTGTCAATTTCTGGTGTACAGCACAATTCTTTAATCATACATGAATGTATGTGTATTCATTTGCATATTCTTTTTCACCATGAGCTACTACAAGATATTGAATATGTTTCTCTGTGCTATACAGTATAAATCTGTTGTTTATCTATTTCATGCATACATCGGTCAGTATATGTAAATCTCAAATTGCCAGTTTATCCCTTCCCACCCCCCCTTCACCCTGGCAACCACAAGTCTGGTATTCTATGTCTGTGAGCCTGTTTCTGTTTTATAAATGCATTCATTTGTCTTTTTTTTTAGATTCCACATATGAGTGGCATCATGTGGTATATTTCTTTCTCTTTCTGGCTTGCTTCACTTAGAATGACATTCTCCAGGGCCATCCATGTTGCTGCAAATGGCATTATTTTATCATTTTTTATGGCTGAGTAGTATTCCATGGTATAAATATACCACATCTTCTTTATCCAGTCATCTGTTGATGGACATTTAGGTTGTTTCCATGTCTTGGCTATTGTAAATAGTGCTGCTATGACCATTGGGGTGCAGGTGTCTTTTTGAATTATGATTCCTTCTGGATATATGCCCAGGAGTGGGATTGCTGGGTCATATGGTAAGTCTATTTTTAGTCTTCTGAGGAATCTCCATACTGTTTTCCACAATGGCTGCACCAAACTGCATTCCCAGCAGCAGTGTAGGAGGGTTCCCTTTTCTCCACACTCTGTCCAGCATTTATCATTTGTGGACTTTTGAATGACGGCCATTCTGACTGGTGTGAGGTAATACCTTATTGTAGTTTTGATTTGCATTTCTCTGATAATGAGTGATACTGAGCTTTTTCTAATGTGCCTATTGGTCATTTGTATGTCTTCAGTAGAGAATTGCTTTTTAGGTCTTCTGCCCATTTTTAGATTGGGCTGTTTTTTTTTCTTATTTATTCATATGAGCTGTTTATATATTCTGGAAATCAAGCCCTTGTTATTTTCATCTTTTGCAAATATTTTCTCCCATTCCAATTGTTGTTTTGCTTTGCTTTGCTTTGCTTATGATTTCCTTTGCTGTGCAAAAGCTTGTATGTTTTCCCATATATTTTGATCGACAACAGGAAAGTGCAATAAGAAAATACTTAAAGCAAATTGTTTATTACTTTCAATGATCGCAATATAGTGTCCTTTAAACATCATCCATGGGAGAACAGGAAACCTACGCTTGCTCATTTCTCTAATTTTCTTATTGAAATCATGGAATTGTGTAGGTAGAAGTTTTGGGAAGTCCTTCAGCATTATAGTAATTTGAGCTTTCATATTGATTACTTTTGGATAAATGTGATTTTCAAAAGCATGTTTTTAACTCCTTGTCCTGACCTCCCCAAAATCATTCAGTCTGCAGATAACAGAACTGTTAATAAATAAAAATGTGAAAGCCACATAAAAAAGGAAAATATATAATACTTTTGCAAAAAATGCAAGGCAGTCTAGTCCTTTGTTGCATAAAAACAATTGATAATGAGCATGCTACAGCATTGTGGGTGGAGATTATACCACCAATTGTTCTCTCAAGGGACGGAATCCAATTAGGAGAGAAAATCCAGCCTGACAATTATGTTATGTCTCACTTTTCCGTTTTGATCAAATGCCCCTTCTGGGCATCTGGTCCCTTTGATGACTGATTTCATAGGGCCACTGACTAGTAGGGTTGACTGGACGGATGACAAACCTGGAGACACTGTTCTTTAAGGGAAGAGAATTGGACTCAGAACCAGACAAATTGGCAGAGCCCTGATCTGTCACTACAAGGTAGTTGCATTAGTTTATTTACCTTTAAATGATTATAATGTCTTGTGTGCATGGTCTGGGTGAGGACTAAGTGACATAATGTTTGTAAGATGCTTAGCACAGCTTTTGAATCACTATAGGGGATAAATATCTGTTGACTTTCATAACAGGAAGATCACATTTTAGTAAAGTCACAATATTGAGGACAATGTAGGATCTAAGGAGATTTTATTGAAGGAATGTTCACCCAAGAGAAATGGGCTTTTCCGATCACTTCTGTAGAGAACTGCAGAGAACACTGGAGTTAAGGAAAAACAAAGTGTGATATGTGCAGACAAAAATGAGAGAGAAAGAGAAATGTTATAAGACTTTGAATTTCCAGCCAACAAAGAGAAATAAATGATTCATTCCTGATACAGATAATAAACTGGTGCAAAAATGAATTAGAATTCTGAAAAAGGAGCCTCAACTAACAGTCTATTTGCACAAAATCTCTTTCAACTAAACACATACAGAAAGATTGAAAACTTTTTGGCTTTTTCCAATCCTATTGGAAAGAAGGCAGAGGAAAGAATTGAAGTGATTACATCAATTTATATGATTCTCATCCAATAGGAAGTAACTGATTAGTTCCTCCCCAAGTTCCTATCACAGTTCCCCATGGTCGGAACTTGAGGAGAAGAGACCATGCCATTCTATTGCCTGTAATAAACAAGGGGCTGGAAGGAAGAAAGAGTCCAATGTGAGCTGTCGGCTTTAGGAAGACAGGTTTTAAAATGTTTAGAATAAAGTTATCCCATAGCTTGAAATTCTGAAAGATAAAATGTTTTAAGGGTAAAGAGGAACTTAAAGATGATGTAGTTCTAACTATAATCACAGATGTTATCAACCCTAAAATAAAGGGAGATGAATGTTTTTTAAATGTAATCTCTATAATGAAATTAAAGAAAGAAAGTGGCAAAGAAGTTGGAAGTTTAGGCTTTGGAGCCAAACTGCCTAAATTTGAATGTCAACTACAGCATTTATCCCGTATTACTCAATCTCTCAGTGCCTCGGTTTCCCTTCTAAGAAGTAGAGGATATAATTTTATCTATATTTTAGCGTTCCATGAGAATAAAGTGAGTGATACATGTAAAGAACTCACAAAATTTACTAGAGTTTGGTATGTAGAAAAAAATTAATTATAGGCATTTTTTTTTCTCTTAACTCCATGCAACAGCAACAGTAACAATAGAATTTAATATTAATTGTATACTTACTCTGGGCTAACCATTGTACACAAAATGCTTAAATCAATTTTAACTTCAAAAGTTACATAAAATATATATTATTGTTATTATTCACATTTTAGATACAAGAAAAATAAGCCTCTAAGAAGTTAAGTAACTGGGCCAAGGTCATGGAAGTATGCGATGGTGAAGCAGAGAAGGAACCATGCAGCCTGACCCAGATGTCCTGGTTTTAACTCTGTTCAGTGCTAAACACTGTGCATTTTTGAAGTACAATTAACTTATGTTTGCAGAGACATTATGTTATGGATATGTAATGTAAATAATACATAGGCTTTATTTTAAAAACAGTTTTGAGAGAAATGGAATGTACAGTAACTTTTCAATCTGACTGCTTTATTTCTTGTTAAAAAATAATTATATTATGATATGTGGTCAAGGTCACTTGACTTGCTGACCAAACATTTGCCTGGTGTCTGTATTGAATTTTGTGCTGTGTTATTTTCCAGCTAGTTGCTTTATGACACCTTGACAACTAACGAAAACCAATGATGTACAAAATAGTGGTCAGTCGGGATCGTCCAGCACAGTGCTGGAGCTGATGCTTCAGCCTGTCAGTTGATGGTGTAAACACAGTTATAGTACAAGAGCTCCTCCCATTTCTTAAGTAAATTATGTAATGATACAAAAGACTGGGGAACTACTCTATGAAATCATTGTTTGGAAGTTAGTGGCTTATCTGCTCTCAAATTTCTTCTTTACTTTTCCTCTATTTTCTCTCTCTGTTTACCTAGAAGTCAAAGGATCTCTTCCAGGTAAGTACTAGGGGGCCCGAATTTCATGAATATGGAAGACTGTATATAGAATTCTAAGTTGACAGTCTTTTACTTTCTAGATGTTAAAGATGCTATTCTCAGTCTTCATTAGTATTTGTTGAAAGTATGCAATTATTTTTATGTTTATTCATTTGAAGGTAATATGTCTTTTATCTCTGGGTACTTTTAAGATTTATCATTTATTGGTTTTGTTAGTAATTTGATGACAAGACTCAATGGTTTTCTGTTTCCTTCCTTCCTTCCTTCCTTCCTTCCTTCCTTCCTTCCTTCCTTCTTTCTTTTCTTTCCTTTTCTTTCCCTTTCTTTCTTTTTTTCTTTCTTTCTTTTCTTTTTTCCCTTTTCTGTGCAGGATACATATATGCATGCATGCAGAGAAAAGTCTTCAGGTTTGCAGAGCAGTATCTTCTTTCTTTTCCCTGCATGCATGTATGGTTATCCTGCTTGGTGTTTGTAGAGACTCTTGGAAATGTGGCTTGATAATTTTCATCAAATTTAGAAAAAAGTGGTCATAATTTCTTTAAATATTTTCCTGGCTCCCTCCTCTTTCAGGGGCTTCCATTACACAGATGTTAAACCACTTAATATTGTTCCAGAAGTCACTAACTCATTCATTTTTTTTTATTAGACTTTTCTCTCTGTATTTCATTTTGGGTAGGTTCTATTACTATTTCCACTTTTTAAACCTCTGCTTTTCTCCTCTTCTCTCCTCCATCTCATTATGTTTATGCTCTTCTTTAAATAATGGAGTAATGGAATATAGTTATATAGGGTGTCTTGACATGCTTGACTGCTAATTATGTCATCTCTGACATTGTCTTAAGATCTAAGTTCTATTATTATTTAGCTATGGCAAGGCCAGCAGATTGGGAGACTACTGCCATTGCAAAGATAGTTTACTATGCTCACAGTTTTGAAAGAAGGGGATGTACCATCTCGTGAAAGGCCACACAGGGTCAGTCAAGAGACAGAGAGAGCAAGGAGAAGATGTGGACACCTTTATTGCGGTTTTTGTAGGAAGGAATAGGAGAGGTGGTATAAAAAGGTTTGGGATTGGCTAGTTTGAATAATTTATGTGAGTTTTGGTGCATAAGGTTGTCTCTAGTTGTCTGGTTCCTGGCCCTGGGGTGATTAGGGCAGGGGTAGTGGCCCTGAGTGGGAGAGGCTGAAAAAGGGGTTGATTAGGGTATGGACTCAGGATTTGTTAGTTTACATTTGAAAGGCATGTTTCCAGATGAGTCCTTTACAATCCTTAGGAGTTGGCTGACCCTGGGAGGAGCAATCCCTTCAGGGTCAGCAAGGCATGGCCCCCTCACCCCCCAACATCAAAGCATCAAATACGGAAACTAGAAAACATGGTTGTTACAGATATCTCTGCATCCAAGTTTATATGGATTGATTTTTCTCCTAGTTACGATAATATTTCCCTGCTTCTTGGAATGTTTAGTACTTTTTTGATTGGATATTGAGAAATTAGATTGTTGAGGGCCTGAAATCTTTTGTGTTTCTTTAAGAGTGTGACATTTGTTTGGTAAGCAGTTAAGTTACTTGTGATTGGTTTTATCTCTTTGATATGTATTTTTCAGTTTTGTTAGAATGGATCTAAACAGACATCAATCCAAAGCACTTTCAGCCCTCATACCAAGGCAGAGATTTACTTTTCTTTGTGGGGTTGTTTTTTTTTTCCACTCTTTATTAATGATCATCATGAATGCTTACAATACACTGAGGACTATACTGGAACTGTGCAACAAAACATGAAAAATGTGAGACACTATTTTATCGTAAAACTGTTAAGTAGAGTTATGTGTGTAAACTAAATGTTTGACTGACAGGGTCATATGAACAGTGAGACACTGTACAAATTTTTGACCTAAAGTACATAAATATGGTACTATTTAAAATACAATGGATTCAGAATATTAGAGCCTGGAATAGTATGGTAGGGCTTTACAAAGGTGTGCATGCTTTAGAATTAGAGTGTCTATTATGTGCTGCTTGCCTAGTATCATTCTAGGTTGTAGAAACACCATGATCAAACACATCCCTGGCTACAAAGAGCTTATCATCTTTCAACACACAAAAACAAGTACCTAGTGCTACTGGAAGGAAAACTTCTTTGGTGCTATGACAATAGTAGATACGTAAGCTAGTCAATAAGCATCAGGGAAAACCTTCCATGAGGAAGCTGTATAAGCTGAGACCAAATGGTTATTAAAATTCAGTCAGATAGAGATGTAAGAGGGTAGGGAGAGGGGGTGGAAGGGATTCATAGCAGAAGAAACAGCATGAGTCAAAACTTAGAAGCACAAGAAAAAGAGCATTTGTGGAATGGAAGTATAGTAGTTTGGTACCTGCTAGAACATGGTGGTCAGGAGGGATGGAATGTGGGACATAGCAACACTAAATCTGTAGACAGGGGCCAGGTGATGGAGTATTTGCAATATAATATGAAAGGGTCTGTATCTTGACCTGAGAGCAATGGATGGGTTCACTCAAATGGTTTTCGGCAGTGGGTGTTATAGAGACGGAAAGACACTTGGTTAAATCTATGAACATGAAGCTTAGGAGAGGGAGCTGAGATGCTGAGACTTGAAGGATAAGGAGACGACTCCTCATATGTATCACTTGGCCAGGGCTGCCATAACAAAGTACCACATATTGAGTGGCTTAAATAACAGAAAGCATCAACAAGCAGTTATGGAGGCCAGCAGCCTGCGATCAAGGTTTGGTGGGGCTGATTCCTTTTGAGAGCCTCTCTCCTTGGCTTGTAGATGGCCGTCTTCTCCCTGGGTCTTCAATGGAACTTCCCTCTGTACATTTCTATGTCTAAATTTCCTCTTCTTATAAGGATATCAGTCATATTGGATTAAAGCCCAACTTAATGACCTCGTTTTAAATTAATTACTTCTATAAAGATCCTCTATCCAAATAAGGCCACATGCTGGGCTACTAGAAGCTAGGACTTCAACATACAGAAATGGAGAGGACAAACCATTCACCCCATTAGACAATGTATGTAAGAGTTGGAAAGGGAGAGTGACTAAGTTATTCAAATGCAGGTAATGGTTAGAGATAATGGACACATATTAATGTAGTTTCAACACCTATGAAGGAAAATCGAATGGATAAAAATAGGAAGAAGATAATGCTGACAGTGGCTATAACATAATGGATTAGCTCTGACAAAGTTACAAAGTGGAAATTTTTTGCATTGAGACATCTCTCTCTGCTGTGTTAGGCAAGATGATTTTTAGAATTATACTGTCCATTTTGGTTTTGTAAATTCTCTATTTAAAAATGAGTTACAGTTTCATCCCTCCAGGGGTTGGTCACTAGGCTATAGACCACTGATATTATTACTGTCTTATTACCAAGTAAGGATAATGGTCATTTTTATCCACTTCTTTAAGCTGTTAAGTCAGGGTATGATTAAATAAAATTCCATGAATAACTTGATCACTATGAAATGAAATCTCCTTCACTATGTTTGCATTTAGTTGGTTACATCAGATGCTGTTTCAAAGTTCTTTTCCCAACAACAATAAAATACTCAACTTTGATATTCCCATAGAGAATATAGAACTAATTCTTTTGACCTGGAGCTATAACTAATGGCAACGTCATAGAAAAATCACACCCATGTTAAAATAGATACATTGCTCTTACCTCTAAAGAGACAAATACTGGAAGCATTATTAAAGATGAAGTCATGCTTTAATATTTTTCAGCTCAAGAATTAAGTGCTAATTTATTTCTTCCCCCAATGTGTTGAAAACTATTTTTACTGCTTGAGGCACTACTCAGGAAATCAGGATTCTGGATTTTGACTTAAGAGCCCACCGTTTTGTATTATGTGTTTTTAGGTCTTTGACTTCATTGTGTTTACACAGTGACCAGCCTTCTGCATAAAACAGGTCAGTCAACAGTTCTGGAGCCTCAACTTTAATCACATAAGGGGGGACAAACTCTATGTACTATCTTTCCTAAATATTCTAACTCAGGAGTGACATCCACTCCTGATCAATCAACTGTGTCCAGGTGTGGAATCTTGGAGACAGAGACTGCCCATCTTGGGTCAGATAATGATCACTAGGCAGAGCTATTATGGACAAGATCTAGGGAACTAATTGGACATATGAGCACTCATAGGGACCATCTGTTTGGACTTAAAGAGTTAGGTGAAATAGAAAGGAAAGGGGCAATTTTCAAAAAATGAAAGTTCTGAGTAGAAAGCCCTTAAATAGGTATCCTACAATGTTGTTTCTTTAAATCTTGCTTAAATTATATATTCATTCCTAATTCATTTCAGTAAAACCTTTTCAAGTATCCCTGTGCCTGGCACTTTTCTAGGGTTTGCTAGAAGTCAGTAAATAAAACAAAATCCAGGATATCACGATGCTCACTTTCTGGTGTGGGGTGAGGAGATGGGCAGTAAACAAATAAAGTCATGAATAAATATTGTCTGATGGTGTAAGAACCATAGACAAAAGTAAAACAAGTAAATGGGTAAAGGGAAAGTTAAAGGAACAGTTCAGGTGCTGTCTCATATTTGTGATTATCAAGGAAGGCCTCTCTGATAAGGTGATGTTTAAAGACCAGGACGAAGTGAGGGAGTGACCCATGAGGGCTCTCGGAAGAAAGAACATTCCTGGTACAGGAAATGGGATACTAAAGCCACCTAAAGTGAACAAAAAATTTATTTTGCTCTACATTTTAACTCCCCTCCCCCATGTTTTATTTTTTATGTCCTATTTTACATCTTTTTAATTTTGTGTACCCCTTAACTAATTATTATAGTTACAGTAGGTTTTACTACTCTTGTCTTTGGACCTTCATGAGAGGTTTTCAAAGTGATTGAACCACTACTTCTACTATAGACTTGCCTTTACCAGTGAGGCTTTTTTTTTTTCCCTTCATTTATAGCTCTGGTCTTTTCTTTTCAACCTAAAGAAGTCCCTTTAAAATTTTTTGTCAAGTTGGTGTAGTGGTGATGAACTCCTTGAGCTTTTGTTTTTGGAGAAACACTTTCTCTCTCCTTCAATTCTGGGTAATGACCTTGTGAGGTGGAGCATTCTCGGTTGTTAGCTTTCATTACTTTGAATGTTATCGTGCCACTCCCTTCTGGCCTGCAAAGGTGCAGCTGAAAAATCAGCTAATGGTCTTAGGGGGGGTTCCTTTGTACATGACTAGTTCTTTTTCTCTTGGTTCTTTTAAGATTCTCTGTTTATTTCTAAAATTTGACATTTTAACTATACTGCATTTTGGGTTTCTTTGGGTTTATCTTGTTTGGGACACACTGTGCTTCCTGAACCTGGATGTCTGTTCCTTTCCCCAGGTTATGGAAGTTTTCAGCCATTAGTTCTTCAAATATGCTTTCTGTCCCTTTGTCTCTTTCTTTTCCTTCTGGAACTCCTATAATGCAGATATTCGTATGCTTGGTGTTGTCCCACAGGTCTCTTAAACTACCCTCATTAAAAAAAAAACTTTTCTTTTTGTTGTTGTATTAGGGTGATTTCCACTACTCTGTCTTCTAGGTATATGATCCATTTTTCTGTATCATCTAGTCTCCTGTGGATTCCCTCTAATGTGTTTTTCATTCAGTTCAGTTACTGTATTATCTCTGTGAGTTCTGTTTGGAACTTTATTATATATTCTGTTTCTTTGTTTAATTTCTCACTGTGTTCATCCTTTTCCTCTCCTGGGTTTTGTGAGCATCTTTATGACCATCATTTTGAACTCTTTATCAGATAAATTAATCATCTCCATTTTGTTAAGATTTTGCTTTTCTGTGGTTTTATCTTGTTTCTTCATTTAGGACATTTTCTTGTTTCCTCATTTTGCTTGACTCTGTGTTTGTTTTTGTGTATTATGTAAAACGACCATCTCTTTCTGTCTTAGAGGAGTAGTCCTGTGTAGGAGATGGACTTTATCGTTTAAACTTACCGTAGCTCCTGGTTGTCTCTCAAACTACCTCTCCACTTATTTCAGCCTCATAAGGTCCAGAAATGCAATGCTGCCATTGTCCTGATCTTGGCACTCAAGGGCATGTCCCCTGTCTAGATTGCCTGTGCCTGTTGGCTCTGGTAGGATTGTGTGGGTGACATGGGTGGGACAAGGCTCCTTGCCTTTTGGTTCTGGTGGGGTCACACAAGTGGCATGAGGACATGGGGCTGTTTGCCCTCTGCATCTGTTAATTTACATGCAAGTGGTATGGGCAAGGGTTGGGGGCTGCTCACCTGACGTTATTATCAGGTTAGAGCGAGAAGACAAAAATGATGCCCACCAGATCCAGTGCCAGCAAGGTTGAGGAAACCCATAAAAATGGCATCTTTCAGTGTTCCTGTCTAGGTTCTTTTCAAACTGCTGCTTTTTGTGCTGGGCCCAGGGACAAATGGCTCTCTGTGTGAGCCCTTTAAAAGCAGAATCTTCATTCTCTATAGACTCATATTTCTCCCTAACATAAGACCCATTTTTGTTTTTCAAAGCCAGACATTTTGGGGCTTGTCTCTCAGGTGAAGGACCCAAGGGTTCAGGTGACTGATAGAAGCTCCATTTTATGTATGTATGTACATATTTTTGACATTTCTCCAGATTGTGAGTTGCTACATGGTGGGTGGGGATGGTGAGGGGATCGGAGTTTTGGTAAGAGTGTGTCTCTGTCTCTCCTACACGTCTCTGTGTAGCCTCCTAATCCTTAGATGTGGAGCAAGTGTTCAGCTAGTTCTCAAGTTGTGGTTTTTTTTTTTTTAGACAAATTTGTTTCATATGTAACTGTGTATTTGTTGTGTCTACAAGAGGACGTGAGTTCAGAATCTTCCTATGCACTCATCTTGAACTTCTTTATGGTCTTAGTTTTGTTGACTGAAAATGAAAAGATTATTTTCTGAAGAAATTGGAGACTGCAGTGATAGACAGCTGTAGTCACTACTTGGGTTTTGTGACTCTTGGCTGACTGCCTTACCAGACAATGTAGAAAGGATATTTGAACTTCCTTCAAATTTCCCCCAAGACTACCGTGGACACAGAGTCTCAGAGTCATGCTGAAAACATATGGTTTAAAAAAGACTGGCAATAAAAAGCACCAATCATTAAGGAGATTGTGATTAAGATATCTTGGGAAATCAGAACTTTGGGAGATGCTGGCATAATGTCCTTGCTATTGTTTTCTAATCTCAAGAGTGAGATGTCAGCGTATCTGACAGGTTCCTCTAGTAACTAACTGCTCAGAGAACTATGTAAACTGGGGGAGACAGATTCTCAAAGACCTCCCCCCTTTTATTACATTCATTCCCTCTTTCCTGCCTTCCTAGTTGGAATTCTACCAAAGCTCCCTTCTGACACTATTAAATTGAAATGTCTGTCATCCATCCCTGTTAGTTCTAGAAAACTTTGATTTTAGACTCAGAACACAATTAAATATTTACCAAGGCTAAATTAGTGTCTGATTATAATATAATATATTTCTGTTTTCTGTTTTTTGTTTTACCAAATAAATATTTGTTTTACCACACACAATTCTAGTTTACAGATTTGTTCTTTCAGCAAATATAATTTGAAAAAGGATTTTATATAACTTTTAGTATAAAATGATGTCTTCAAAGTACATTTTACTTATTTATCACTGATATTAAAAATCACTTAAGGCCAAATGATTGGAATGTATAAAGAAAATAATGGAACTTGGTGTTTATACAGCACTGTAAGTGATGAAAACTTGTTCTTTAAATTCCCATTTGTTCCTATACCAGATATAATCTTATATGTTATAAGACAAGATTTATCTTGATTACTTTTAAACAAAGCGTTCTGCTTAGGATTAAGTTTTGTTTGCTGTGTAAACAGTAGATTTGCGCCATACCTGAAAAACTCCAAGTTTGGGACATCCAAATCTTTTACAGTGGGCTGCAGGCAAACCTGTCTGACCCTTACCTCAGTGGGAGACATTATTTTATTTTACTGGAAAACAATCAAACGTGCTTTCTTTTCCATTGGTGGAGACTATATCTCCCAAAGCTGTTTGCATGCTTACCTCTTGGAGAGAACAATCTAGAACAAAAGCAGCCAGTGCCCACAAGACATGCAGAAATGTAAGAGACCCATGGGGGATTGTCTCCCAACATGCTGACACTTTCCTTGCTCAGACTTTCAAAATGCACCTCACACTCTACTTCATGAATTCCTTCTTGATTCTACCAATTAACTATGTTTTTCTTCTTTCAACCCTGCTACATTTTGTGTTTTTCTTTTAAGACACATACTGATTTGCACTCTTTCATTGTGTCTGTATTTCTTTATCATCCTGTACTCTGTGGATTGAACTTCCCTTGATAGCAGGGACTCTGTTTTCGTCATCCTTACGTCTTTTATAGGAGGAAAGGCTTCTTTGACCTATTTCTTGTCCTTTTTCTTTGAAACTATTTTGCTAACAGAATATGGTATGGAACTCTTCCTTATGAAGCAGTAAAGCAACACGCTTATAGCCAACAGACCAGGATACACAAAAACACCTAAAATGTCTTTTAAATGTATAATTTACTCCAGTCAAATGATATGGCCGAAATAGTCCATAATAAGAGATATTTTTATATAGTTCATCTCTGAAGAAAATCTAGATTATTCTGTAATTACATTACATATTAGGTTCTTGATATACAATGTTTGTCTCTTACTACCATTGCTGCTGCTACCATCAGCAATACTGCCTCCATCACTTTTTACTGCTGTCTCCATCAATGTCTAAATATTCTATCCAATTCTAGAACCTATGTGAAGCTCTCCATAACATTGACTATTATTTTTCAGAATTTTAGGATCTATGGATTTTTATCATTCCAATTTTCAGATGAAGAAATCTAGGCTTCTAGAGTAATCTGCCCAAATTCACATAGCAAGTAAGTGTCAGAGTTGAGACTGAAACTCCCTTTATTTCATGCTTAAGTCTGAGTTCTTAACAATTTTATTATCATAATGGCCTGGGATGAACGTATTGAGATTCACAAGTAAGTCTACAATCAACCAGGAGATGAAAATTCTCTCACATTGATTATAAGATGTTTCTTAAAAACTATTCAGTCTGGTTCCACAAATTGCAGTGCTCTCTTCTGTTCTCAGTTACCGAGGGGGGAGCTCTCATGGTATGTGACTACAAGTTATCTTCACTCTTTGGCTACTTCCAGTTGTGTATGTAGAGTATTAACTTATAAGCTAATTATCAAAACAAAGAGGAATTAAAAAAAAATCAGTCACTGACTCCTGAAACATGTCCCAACCCTAAGATAATAAAGAACGTGAAATTTTGAGCAGGTTTCCCCAGTGCCAATCAACGTAGTGATAGTTCTAAGATTCTGATAGTTGAAGTCAGACTGTACGATTCAAGATAAATTCACAACGGTGTCTGGATTGTCACCTGTTGCTCATGGGGAAGGATGATGGAGAAGGTAATTAAAGACTGGCTTTTGGTGAGTGCTATCAGGCATCTTCACTAGTTCTGACTTATATGGTCATCTTTATGGTACCCTGAAACGAACTTCTAGCTTCATTACCATTCACTGAACCATCATAAATGGAGAAGACATTTTTTTAATGGAGGAAATTGTGTTCCCTTTCATGTCAAGACATTCTAGTTAAATCTGGGTGACTTGAAAACTATGAGACAGTTTTTCACTGGATTTGGCTTTGGTTGCTTTTTTCCTTAATCAGACTCTCATGTTGCCAAGTTTTGAAGTTTGCATGTTCAGGTTATTGAGAGTGTTGTTTTTCTGAGTGCAAATAGAGTTCAGGTTTCTTAAAATAGGGAAAATTACTGCTCCCTTCCCCCTTCCACTTGAAAAAAGAAAAACGTAATGGTTCCACATTATTTGATTTAGGTCAAAACTAAAAATAAAATTCCTCCAAGTTGTGACTAAACAAGGAAAATTTCTTCTCAAAGCACTTTTAAAAAAGTCATAATTGAGTGTAAAGGAGGTAGATGAAGAATTGTTTTCACTTGTAAAATTTAACCCTGACCAAGTATCTTCTGGAAAATAACTGTAAGCCCAAACTGCTAATGCTTTCTAAATCTGTGTGTGAGCCTCCGTTAAAACCCACTTGTGTTGTTGATTTTCGAACTTAACTCAACACATCAGATTTTTAATCTTCTAGTCTTCAAAACAGAATGTTGCTTACTTTGCATATATTCTTGAGAAAGTAAATTGTGAGCAATTTTAGAATGAGACAGTATTTGAGACTGCTTTCTCATAAATATCGTTAGATTTTAATAAAACTACACCTATGAAAATATCGTGAGTAGAATCAAGTATTTTAGTTCCTTCTCAATTTTCCTTTCTCGTGTTTCTTCTTTCCTGAGGTCCCAGCTTCTGCCTGCTCCCCCATTCCTGCTCCAGGACCTTCGTATGGAGGGTCATCATCTAGTCTCCTTCCTTTCAGTTTTTCTTTCCATGATTTCCCATCCCCCATCTTCTTTCACTGACTCCTTTTCCAAGGAACCACTCAGATATCCTTTTTGTCTATATTTCACTGAACACTTGTCACGATATAGTCATTGTCTACTCTGGGCCAGACACTTATAGGCATTAAAGATATGGAGATATACAAGACCATAGGTCCTGGTCTTACAGGTGTTATATTCGAGAGAGGATAAGTAGTTAATCTAAATAAATAACCAAATAAAAATGAGACAGAACTGCTGATTGCAATAATTGCCAAGAAGAATGTAGCCATGAAGCTCATAATCATGGAGAGTGATTATGGTTGGTACAGGCAGTGGATATTAGTGGAATATTAATATTAGCATATTTTATAGGAAAATCATAGAAGGCCTCTCTGAGATGTTTTTCTGCAGAGGCTTGAAGGTCAAATAAAAGGCAGTTGGGTAAAGAGTCAGGGGAGAACACAGCTCCACCTGTTCCAGTACAGTGTGTCCAGAAAATAATCCATAAATGGTAGAATAATGTGAAATGGGATGGAAAGGTGGGGAAGAGCATACTTTTAAAAATGACCCTAAACTGTCGTAAGATGTTTGGATCTTGTTCTAAGAGTAAGGAGATGCTCTTGTGAAATCTGTAGTTCGCTCAATTCTGGAGTAATGTTTAGCCCTGACACAGTATGAAGTCAGGAGCTTGTGTTTGTTGACAATGCAATGCCTTGATCAAGTTAATGGCTCTAGAAGGAAAGAAATTTCAGGCAAAATGCAAAGCTACATTTCACATCATGGTGAAAGGAAGACTTTGGAATGTGTTCCTCTAAATCCCTAAACAAGTAAGTGGGCATCTATTCTGCCTAAATCTGAGGTAGTCTGTTGACTGTTTTCTTCCCAGGAGCTATATTCTGGGAATAATTTAGGAAATCTGGAAGATGCATTGACTCCATCAGTGATGTTTGCAGTATCCACATGACCTGAACAAGTTTGTATAAGCTTCCAGAATTTTTAATTTATTCACTTGGAAAATTTGGTTATCAAATACCATTCTCAGTGTAATGCATGATAGGTTACTGTCAATCATGTCACAGAAATAATTCAGAATAAGAATGTTCTGTCATTACAAAATTTTCAACTTAAGACAG